AGACACTTGCAGCTGATATCTTAGAATTGCTAAACCTTTTTCAACCAGCCAGGGTCCTAACATTTGGTGGTGATCTCTGCAGCTGACATCTTAGAATCGCTAAATGATCAGATAGGTCTGCTGCTTTTAATTAAAATTAAATCCGTAATCTTGCTTGTTCAGGCAGTTCCTGTTATAAGGTGACAGGGCTCCCTGTATATCAATTACTCTTCTACATTAACATGCATGTCTGCTGTATACCATGAGCAGCCACACCGACCACTAAGAAGCCAGCCCTGAGCAATGACATGTTGCCACAGCTGCAGTGCATGCATGTAGACTGGAAGTTGCTGCAAAGAGGCTGGAGAAGGTCAGATGCGCTATGATGCAACAAAGTTTTAAAAACAGGCAAAAGACAGTTTTATGATGTTATCCAGTTAGGATTCACATCTATTGCAAATTATTGTTTCAGAATAGTGTGTAAGATGCCACTTTGATTCTATTTGATGTTCTATGTATACTGGGAACATTAGAAAGGCTGCGTGGTGTAAAGACCTAAATATATATATATATATATATATATATATATATATATTCTGAATATTTTCAGCAAGAAAAGTCCCTCTACCCACTCTCTCTGACTCAGCTGTCTACTGTTTAATAGCGAGTCCATGCCAAGTGACGGGACCAAAACTGCTTGACTTTTTAGCCTAATACAGATCTATTGATCCATTCAAGAACTGATTTAATGGGTTTTTAAGAACCTGTGACTATTAAAAAAAAACATTGAATGTTTCAGCAGTCTTCAAGATGGAGCAAAAATGTCCTTGGTAAAACCCCCAGTGCTATGGATAGCCCCCTCCATTGCAAGTGTTTGCATCTTTCTTTGCTTACTTTCCCTGCTGAACATTTTCATTAAGATGAACAAATATTGTCTGTATATAGTTAGAAGCCTGTGCATACAGCCCCCTTTCCTCTAACTATACTCTGCCTAATTTTAATTTCATAACCATGAGGTGGAAACAGAGGACAAAACATGTATCACATAAACATCTCTGATTTCTATTCCATAATGACCCCATTTTCACAAGAATGACTGATACTGAAGAAGAAATGCATAAAAAAAGAAAATGCAATACTGTTATCCAGTCTTTATCAGACGTCATCTTTGATTGATGAACTTAGAGGCAAGAAGTCTATAGCTACATAGTGATCAATGGTCTCTTTGGAAATCCTACTCTTTTATACAACTCTTTTCTCCTTCTGCCCCTACCTTGATGAAGAAAGGAAATGCAAGGAAACAGCAAAGTGTACAAGCACTAAGAAAGGATTTTATATTTTCATCAAAGGGGCTTTGAAGTCAAACAGCCAGAAAAAAACTGTTTTTGCTGATCTAAGTGCTGTGAAGCCAACTGACTATTCACATACATATGGCAGATGAACAATTTCCACAAATTTTCTCTACCCAAAACCATCAACAGCAAAAAATAATATCTCATGTGTAGAGATTAGTGAGGATTCACTACACTACATTGTTTTTTTTAGCAGCACATGCCCCATATGAAATATTTATCTTACAACATATAGCATAGACGCAATATAATGAATGAATGATCATATGGAATTAAAAGACAGACAGAGGTAGACAGAAAAACAGAAACAGAGAAGTAGAGAGACACTGGAAGGATACAGGTAGCAGGCAGAAAAGAGGAAAGGCAAGAAAGTTTAGGAGAAACATACCAAGAGCTAAAGAAGAAAGAAATGAAAGATATCGAGGCTCAGAGAATGCGAAAGAAGAGTAATGGGGAGGAAAGGAAGGGGGCTTGAGCAAAATTGATTGATAAACAATAGAAAGCAAAAAGAAGATTGGGACAGTTTTGAGACTGAGTTTAAAGTCTGAAAAAGAATGTTGGATTAACAAAACAGGGGAGTGCTTCCAGCAAACACACAAAGTAAGTTCTACTCTTTTCCTACCAAATTACTATATTACTAACCCAGGTATGTTACTTTCATGAAACCACAGTGTAAGATGCTAAACAGCCTGGGGCTTTCAACTATATTTGACACAGTGGGCAGGCACAGTGGTTAGCACTTCCGCCTGGCAGTACTAGGGTCGTTGATTTAAATCCCATCCACGGCACCTCCTGCCTGGAGTTTGCATGTTCTCCCTGTGCCTGCGTGGGTTTCCTCCGGGTACTCCGGTTTCCTCCCACACTCCAAAGACATGCTGGTAGGTTAATTGGATCCTGTCTAAATTGGCCTCAATACGTTCATGGATGTAAGTTAGGGACCTTAGATTGTACGCCCCTTGAGGGTTAGGGACTGATGTGAATGTACACTATATATATGTAAAGTAAATTAATGGTGCTATATAAGTACCTGAAATAAATAAATAAAAATACAGTGTACAATAGTATATTTCAGTAACACTAATATTACTGTGTAATATAGTCTATTTGGCTATAGTGTTTTCCAGTTCCACAAACTCAACTAGTAATTGAGACATACCTATCAACACAGAGAATGCTGGAAGATGTTTTGATACTTTACATATTCATATATAAATAGCAGGAACAAGTGAGGAGAGAGCCTGCTTACAAGATTTGGCTAATTAATCTAGCATGTTCTACAAAACCACAACACATTAAATTCTAATTAGGCACAAGTGGAAAAATGGTCTTCTTAAACCTTAATGTATCTTCAACACAGATATGTTTGCTATGCACCTCTCAGTATCAGACCACACTGATGTTATCAGAGATATATATATCAAATGAGAATTATAATTTTACTCATTTCTGCCAACCAAAATTGTATGGTAAGAACATAATAAATGCATTCAAAAAGATCCCAGTTGTTCATGTTAATCAGGTCAATGGTTTTCATGTTGGTCTTGAAATATCAAATATACTGCAAGTACCCTAGAAATAGTTTACATTGTATCCTCATTTCCTGTATAAGAAAAAGTCAGGGCATTCATAAAAAGCATACCATATAAAAATGGTAACAGTCCCCAAACAAATATTCAGTATAGGGCTGATTTACTAAAGAGGTGATGAAAATGTACCTGCTTATTAAATAAAGTGAAGCTATGTTGTCTTTGAATAGCCAATCATGTGCACAGAAAAAAAAAGATTTTGCCTTGCATGCAATTAGATGATTGAAGTAAGCTGAGTGGACATTCTCCACTCCTTTAGTAAATCAACACTATTGTGTTGCAATGAGACCCATGGTCCACAAGAATAACAACTTGCCAATGTCTCTCCCACAAACCTTGAGCTACAAGTCCTAGCCTTTGACTGACAAGGCATGCTGACAGTTTTAGTTCTACAGTATCTGGGAAAACACTAGTTTTCTACAATGTTATTTTAGAGACAGTTGCTACCCTTTGTAAAACAAGTAGTGCTGAACTTACCAGTAAATAATGGATACTTAGGGGGAAATTTACTATAACTGGTGTACTCAGAATCTGGTGCAGCTGTGCATGGTAGCCAATTAGCTATTAACTTCAGTTTGTTCAATTAAGCTTTGCCAATAAAACCTGGAAGCTGAGAGTTGCACCAGATTTTGCCCTCTCCAGTCTTAGTAAATAACTCCCTTTATGTCAACAAGATGTCTATATCAGCTCTCTGTATAATGTTGAAAAAATGAAAGATGTGCAATCATTTAGGACAGCCAAGCAGAAATCTGTTGTAGAAGTCTGACTACACAGACAGTTGATAGCTGAGTTGTTGCTATGGTTTGCAAAACATCCTTGATGTTTGTACTATAATATTAAATAAGCTCCTATTGAACTTGCATTAATAAAGAAAAGATTAATGTGAAGACTGTAATTAACCCAATCAGCAATCATCTTGTATTATTCATACACACAGAAAAAAATTAAAAAGTGATTGGCTGCTGTGGATGTATGCGCACATCACCAGGTATTTTTAAAATGCTTTGTAATATAACCAGAAATGTGCAAAGACTGGCAGGCGCAATACTTTCTATGACTAAGATCCCTTCAATTAACTCTCTGGGCATTTGAATTATCCAAGAAATGGCTATTTACTTTCTATTGTATCTAAATATCAGCCACAAGTTAACGTCAGTTGACAGCATAAACAGTTTATCTCTGATTGGTTACTAGGGGTCTTGTTCTGAGTGATGAAGTATTCCCTTATCCATTAAAATGTTATAATAATTTTCACTTCCAAGATTCGTCCTTTTAAATCTCAGTGGTTGTGAGATCTCTTTCAATATTACTGGGTGGATTGCATTGCATTACACAAGACAACATGGTTTGCACTGCAAGGCAAAGTTTATTAGCAATAAACTTGCAAGTTGTATTATCACCAGCGAATATTGCAATTTAATACTGTACATTCAGGCCAGAATTACATGTCTACATACAATGCTCACTGTTCTAGAGTTTTCCTTTTTTTAAGACAATCTTATTTCATTTAAATAGACAGTTGAGTTTATGCATAGGATTATTTATTTTCATAATATTGCAATTGAGATGAGTGGTGGGTATTGCAGTGGCTACAAGGGACTATCTACAAAACCCACCACTCTCTCCAAATGCAACTAAGGGGGGGAAAGGAAAAAAAAAGTTGTTACATAATGGCATCCCTGTGCCAGTACAATGGTCATTAAGCCACCTGGTTTTGTTAACATGAAATAACAACAAGCAACAGTTCATCAGCCTCTTGGTCTGTGCAAATATGTTTCAAAAGACAATTTCAAAATTATCCCACTGCCATGTAGTGGCTATGAAAAAATATCGAATATATATGTACAGTCTATAGAAATTCACATTGAAATAATGGCAGCCATTAAACCTAGGTTTTACATAGTTCAACACTTCTGCGTTTTGTTAGTCTGGGTCCATCAAGTGCCAGAGCCAATGATGAATCATTAACTACCCCACCACCACCCCCCTCTTCATGGGTTGCTCAAGGCTTTCAAGGGAACAAGCATTAAAATAAGGGCTTTTGTAATGGGCACAAGGCAGGCAAGAGCAAACAGGATCGTCTTCACTGTCTACAGAATTTGCACTTGATGATTTTCTTAAAAGCACTTTGGAAATCTTTATTAAAGTAAGCATAAATAATAGGGTTGAGGAGAGAGTTTGAGTAGCCTAGCCAGTTGATGACATCGAACAGCAAGTGTGGCATGTGGCAGGATTCACAGAATGGCAAAACCAGGGCAACGATGAAGAATGGCAACCAGCAAAAAATGAAGGTGCCCATGATGATACCTAGCGTTTTAACCGTTTTCCTCTCCCTGGCCAGGGCCACTTTCCTCTTGGCATCAGCGCTCTTGTCGTTCTTCTTCTCAAAGCATGTAGGAGATGGGTTGTCACTGGAATGGTTTGGCAGCTCAAGGTGGTTCTTAGAGTTGGCATAATGATGGACCTCAATGATCTCCAGGGCAGCCCCATCTTCATTGTTCCTGACTGCCCCATTGACACAGGCGTTGTTGGGTTTGGGCTCCACACTCCTCTTCCAGTTCTTGCTGGGCTCCCCATTGCTTTTCCTTTGGATGGTTGCTGGGGAGATTGACAGAGAAGTGTCTGCCACTTTCTTCTTCTCAGCTTTCTTAACAGTTTTACGAATCCTGAACCTGGCTGCTTTAAATATCTTACCATATAATATCAACATTAGAATTAACGGGATATAAAAAGCCCCAAAGGTGGAGTAGATGGTGTAACCTGGGTCTTCACTGATCTTACAAGCATCAGGGTCAGACCTGTCTTCAGGTGTCCTCCAGCCCAACATGGGTGGGATGGATATTGAGAAGCCCACTATCCATGTCAGGCTAATGAGAATGGCAGCTCTCCTAGGAGTCCGCTTGTTCACATAGTCTATGGGGTCTGTGATCGCCCAGTATCTGTCCAAAGCTATAGCACACAGATGGAGAATGGACGAGGTACAACACAAAACGTCTAAAGAAATAAAGATATCACAGGTTACCTGGCCCAGAGTCCACTTGTTGAGAACTTGGTTTTGAGCCGCCATGGGTAACACCAAGACGGAGACCATCAAGTCAGTGACCGCCAAGGAGCCTATGAGATAGTTGGCCACCGTCTGAAGAGTCCTTTCCAAGGCTATGGCTGCGATCACACAGGCATTGCCAAAAATCGCACAGAGGATCAGTGTGCCCAAGACGAACGAGGTGAGGATCTGGTAGCTGAGGGCTACCTCCTCGAACTTGGTGCCATTCCCCTTCTCTGAAGAATAGTCTGAAGAGGTAGTGTTATTAAAAGCATCCATCCCAAACCAAAAAAAAGGTAGTAGAAGAGAGGGAGAGGTTGGGGGATGGGAGGCTGGGATCAGGACGTCCTGTGCCTGGCTGACTTTGGGGGGGAATGGACGCCTAGGCTCCAGCTCCGGACTTCATAGTTTCAGAGGTGATGGGTACCACTCCAGTCTGCGCTTCTTGCTTCTGCGAATCATTGGCGACTGATGAAGTGTTGAATTCCACAGAGTGCAGGAAAAAAAGAGAGGACGTCAGCGCTGATGGTGTGAGCAGAGCACTAGGACAGGAAGAAAAAAAAAAAGAGAGACTGACTACCAGATGAAATCCATCTTCTCCCCACACCTTGGTCCTCCTACCCTCTCTAGACAGCAAGGAAAGGCGATGCACTCACTAACTTGCCACTCAGTGAACTACAACTGGCTGCTGTAGGAGTGTGCCCCCCTTGCTGAGCTGGGATTGTAGTTCCTTTTCATAGGGAGAGCAGGCGGAGCCTTGAAGATTGGCACTGCTCTGCTCTCTCTGCCCAGAAGATCGCTGTCTGTCTAAGCTGGCAGGTCCACAGCTCCACTAATATCACTTGTTACCTACCTTCCCACAGTGTGCCACCTTCCCCTCTTCCCAATGCAATGCTCTGCCTGCCCACTATTAACCCTTCCCATGCTCAACAGAATTCAGGGTTTTTCAGGGGAAGAAAAAAGTCTTTGTGTTGCACGTAGATTTTGACATAGGTTTCTTCGTAGGATTTGATGTGCCTAGCTCAGCCACATCCAGCTATTCCAATGCATGCTGTGCTATGGGCTCGGAACAGCTGCGAGGAAAGTTAGTGCTGGATGCAGCTTTCAGGACCCTGGACAGCAGCGCGGAGTGGAAGGTGGCTTGGCGCCATCTACAGGACAGTCGGAGAAATAAGGTCAGCGCAGGCTGGCACGCACACACACGCCGCTCAGCGCACTAGATTATGCAAGATCCCAGGGTTCCATAACATTATTTACCCGGATTAGAGCAAGGATTAGATACGACGTGCTACACACACTACTGCCCTTTCCTCCTGCAGTTATTCCAAGCTGGTGTGTGTTATGGGGATCACTCAAATTCTACTGCAATGCCACTTGCTGATTCTATGGTGGGGCCAGGCTGATGTTGGCATGCCATGTGTTCATACAGAAGGAATGGCATTGCCTGGAGTTATGCAGATTGAGCCCTCGGTGCGGTCCAGAATTTGCAGCGTTTTCTGTGCGAATTCCGCACCGCATCATAATTGCACCCCGTTCATGCGAACCTCTACAGGTGTGTATGTTAAGTTATTTATTATACAGGATTTATATAGCGCCAACGGTTTGCTCAGCGCTTTACATTATAGTGGGAGACAATACAGCAACAATACAGTTCAATACAAGAGGGATTTGAGGGCCCTGCTCCTTGGAGCTTACAATCTAGGAGGGAGGGGTGAATGGTACAGTAGGTAGTCACTGTGGGGGATGGAGTGGTTGGAAGAGTAGAGGATTCTAGAATTAGCAGAGGGTGGGATAGGCTTGCCTGAAGAGATAGGTTTTCAGTGATCGCCGAAAGGCAAGTAGAGTAGGTGATAGTCTGATAGATTGGGGTAGAGAGTTCCAGAGGATGGGTGATGCCCTGGAGAAGTCTTGGAGATGAGCATGGGAGGAAGAGATAAGGAGCTAGAGAGTAAGAGGTCTTGCGAGGAGCGGAATGTGCTGTTTGGGTGATATTTAGAGATAAGATCAGTTATGTTAATTGGGGCAGTGTTGTGGATGGCTTTAAATGTCATTGATAGAGTTTTGAATTTTATCCGTTGGGCAACTGGGAGCCAGTGGAGGGATTGGCAGAGAGGGGTGGCAGATACAGAGCGGTTAGTGAGGTGGATGAGTCTGGCAGCAGCGTTCATTATAGACTGGAGGGGGGATAGCCTACGATAGACTGGAGGGGGGATTGCCTACGTTAACAACACCCCAAAAGCAGTCCACAAATGTGAAGAATCAGATCGAATAGGTGTGAATACCCATGCGGTCCGATTCTAGTACGGACCAAAAAAAGATGTCCTGCATGGTTTTGGTGCGGGTGCAGTGCGATTAGAGCCATACAAAATGTATGGCTCCAATCACACCGCACACAAATTGCATGTGGTTTGCACAGGAATGCGGTGCGGTTCCTGTGGGAATCACATGCGATATACTACACCACATATATGTGAACCAAGGCTGAGGGACAGTTCACACTACATGCACTTCAGTTGCGTTTTTTTCTGCATCCAAAATGCACAGAAAATAGGTTTATATGGTTGTCAATGTCATAGTTCACATCAGTGCTTGCAGTTCCTGTGCGATCCGGTTGTAGAAAAAAAAGTAGAACAGAATGCATTTTTCCTGCACAGAACTGTACTGGAACACGGTAAAACGCATCCAAAATGCACCAAAAACACACTGGAACACACATGTCCCTATTTAAATTGAAGAAAAAGAGAGGGAAAATAATTAACTGGAATGCATAAAAAATGAACCAGAGCACGCCAAAAACGTGCCTGCAAAAACATATCAGGAACGCATCTGGACTGCGTTTCTATAGTGTGAACCGACTCTAAACACACCAAACCGCACCAAAAATGCACTGGAACACACACATGTCCCTATTTAAATTGAAGAGAAAGAGAGGGGAAAAAAATCAAAAACGCATAAAAAAACACACAGGAAAGCGTCACAAACACACATGCAGAGACGCATTCAGAACACATCTGGACTGTGTTTCTAGTGTGAACGGACCCTTAATGAAAACGACAAAAACAGACTCTGGATGCATTCTGGATACATTTTTGCTTACAGTTCACACCACACTCTGTTCTGGTGAAGTTTTGATGCAGTTTGCTATGTTGCAGTACAGTTCAGTGCAGAAAAAATGCAGCATGATCTACTTTTTTCTGCACTGGAAACTGACTGGAACTGACTGCACCAGTGTGAACTAGGGCCATTGGGATACATGGAAAACACTGTGCATGCATTTTTGATGTGGAAAAAAAATCGCACTGGGCTGCATCTAATGTGATCTAGCCCTTAGGGCCAGTTCACACTACATGCGTTTCAGTATGCTTTTTTTCTGCATCCAAAATGCAGAGAAAGTAGGTTATATGATTGTCAATGTTCACAAAAAAAGTAGAACAGGCTTCATTTTTCCTGCACAGAACTGCACTGGAGCGTGGTAAAGCGCATACAAAACACACGGGAACGCATATATCGCTATTTAAATTGAAGAAAAAGACAGGGAAAATCTGAATCGGAAAGCATCAAAAACGCACCACAATATGTAAAAAACGCACTGGAATGCACCAAAAACACGTCAAAACATGCATGAAGAAACACATCCAGAATGCATCTGGACTGCGTTTCTGTAGTGTGAACCAGCCCTTAACCACGTGCCCTCCAGAGGATTTATCCCCCTTCCTGACCAGGCCATTTTTTTGCGATACAGCGCTGCGTTACTTTAACTAACAATTGTGCGGTCATGCAACGCTGCACCCATTTGGAACATTTTGAAAAAAAAAATCTTTTTTTTTTACTTTTTTTGCTATAAAACATATCCAGTAAAAAATTAAATTTTGTCATAAATTTAGGTCAAAATGTATTCTGCTACATGTCTTTGCTAAAAAAAAATCCCAATATGTGTAAATTAATTGGTTTACGGAAAAGTTATAGTGTGTACAAATGGTGGTATGTACACTGGAATTTTTATTTTCTTTATACTAGTAATGGCGGCAATCAGTGACTTATAGCGGGACTGCGGCAGGAATTCTGACAGTGGGGGGGGGGGGGACTGACTAACTGCCACTGACATCCCAATGACAGTAATACAGTGATCAGTGCTAATAAAAATTACTGCACTAATGGCACTGGGCAGGAAGGGGTTAACATCTGGGGCGATCAAAGGGTTAACTGTGTGCTGTGTGCTGTTTTACAACATGTGTTCTGTGTGTTTTACTTGGGAAACATGCCGCTGTGTATTTCTCTGCACAGCAGAGAAAATACACAGCAGCATGTTGTTGCTGGCAGGAGAGAGACCTGTGTTGTTTACACAGAGGTCTCTCCCATCAGTGTTACTCAGCGATCGCTGGGTACCGATGGAGATTCTCCATCCAGGACCCAGTGATTGACATCTGTAGCCGCCAATGGTGCGGGTAGGGCTGTGTGCGCGTGTGCCTCCTACCCATAAATGTAAATTACTTATATATACGTGGGTTTGCACAGCCCTGACGCCCTGTAGCAGTATTTCTGCTATAGGGTGGCAGGAAACTGGTTAAAGAGGAAATCCAGGTATGGATATTTCTGCACGGTCACATTGGTCCAGCTTGGATCTATATACCGACAGTATGTGCACACCATACCTGGGTGATCCCTCCAGAATAATGATTCTTAAAGGATAAGTTCACCTTTCCACAAAAAATAATAAATACACATTTTTTTGCCTGTAAAAAATGTTAGTTTATTATTTTTTTTGTGTTAGGAGCAGACCGGTGCTAGACTATTTTGCGCCCTAGGAAAGACCAGCTACTTGCAAAAAAAAAAAATAACTTCAAAAATGTTTCCGTAAGTCCAATAAAAACCAGTAACATCAGCGTCAGCCATCATCAGAGTATGCCAGCTCTGTATATGGAAGACCAGAGAAAGACAGGGGGAGGCACCACTAAGTACAGTTAATACTGTACGTACAGACCAAATTAATAAGCATGCGGTGGGTCGGCTTTGAATGCACATGAGGAAGACATGACGTCATAGGGGGAAGGTCCGGTGCCTTGGAGGACAGGCTACGCGCTCAGTACTCTCTGCTTTTTCTAGAGGCCTGGAAGCACACTGCTGTATCCCACTAATTATGGGCAAAGCAGCGGTCAGGCAGACTACAGATACCAGCATGACATTTTTTGCAACAATTCAAGTGATTCTAAAGGATTATTTTTTTTAAAGAAAAAATAACAAGCATCTATAGTTGCCTGCTGTGTGCAGTGGTTTTGCAC